ACCGTTGCGACTATCTCGGAGACTCTTTCTTGTCGTTCTCTTGTTGACTCAGGAGTGCAGACGGATGATGCTTGCCTGACCGTGCTACCCAAGGAGGAGGCGGCCGTTGCGACACATTCGGAGATGTCTTGTGCGGATGTTGTGGACTTTCATTGTGAAGTCGGCTGTCAGACAGAGATTGTCGTTGGGATGGAGGGAGGAGCTTCAGGAGTTCTTCTTGGGAAAGTGACTGTGGAGGCTGAGGAGGAGCTGGAGGCACCCTCGAGAGCGGAGTTTTCTCCGAATGTGCAGGCTGATCCGGATAGCCACGCCTTGTCAGGAGCGTCCCAGGGGTGTCTGAATCGTCCCGTCACGCTCAATGGAATATCGAATCCGGGTTCTGATGCGTTTGTCCGTGTCCGGATGGACGTCTCCAAGACAGTGCGTCAGTCGGAGGAGGAGTTCCAAGCTGTTCCTCCGGATTCCAAGCGTTCTGATGGAAAAGGGGATGTACGAGGGCACCGCAAAGGCAGAGGCAAAGGCCAACGATATCATAGCAGTGCCAAGCCTGCTAAGAACTCTAAAGGCGCCAACATTGTGTTTGACGAAGTGTATAGGTTCGGTAGGACGTTGACGGACTGTGAACGAAGGTGTAAATCTCAGGTTTGGCCTCTGTGGTAGATTTTAGTATTCTTCGAGTGCTTCTTTTCATTCCGTTATTATTGTATTGGATTGTTGATTGTGATTGCATAGTCTCTTTTGTTTGTGCTCTAAGAATTCAGTGTGTGCATGTTCAGTTCTTGGCCAGGTCTCCTGGCTCTCACGTCGTAACATTATCCTTGCCTTATCAAAGCCAGCTTTGATGGGGGCTTTTGTAGCCGCGGAAGTGCCTGTGGTGTGTGTGGATACAGATTGGTCTGCGAAACAAATATAACTTCTCGCGGACCGACATCATTTTCAAGGATGTGTATCTTGAGGCTTGGTGTCTGCCACCAAGCGCCACTGTTACAGATACGGAACTATCAGCGGCGGAGCGCGTATGCTATGTGCTCACACAGGTAGTGCAGACCTTCTTTGATCATTCGCAGGGATAAGTCACACATTGTTTCTTCTTTATCTGTGTTCTTGTTTATTCCAACAGCTTCGCTGTTCACTGACTCATTTCTTTGTGTGCTTTGCGTTTGTTTGTGTCATTGCGGCATGCGTTTCTCTTCATTCCTTCAGCTTCGCTGTGTGGTATAAGAGCGGACTGCTTGCGTGATGAATAAGAGGCTCTGTTTCGCCTGATACTTTGTTGGACCTGGCCTTAGTGGCCAAGACGGTCCCAGCAAAGACGCAAAAAAAAAAACGAGATTCACGGTTCACCGCCGGCGCCAGTTCGGACGCACTAGCGGGCTAGTTGGTCCGAAAAATCTCGACGAAACTAAATCGTAGAGCTTCTCTTGCCAAGTTGTTGCTGGATGCTTAAGAGTAACTTGTAGAGCTCTCCTTAGCAAGTTATTGCTGGAAGCTTAAGAGTAATTCTGGGGCACTGGAGAGCTCGTTGGCAAGAAAAATCTCGACAGACCTTTTGGTGACTTTTGGTCGGTTAAAAATTTTGTTCTCGAAATTCAACCATAGACCTTCAGTATTTTTTCCCGTGATATTCGATCTTGTTCCTGCTCGCCATCTTGATATCAGCTCGATCGGGTACCTTTTACTGCCAAAAAGCGTCCAGGCGCGATCGGCCGTTTCGGGTCATCTTGTCACGCGCTGCCGGTTTTCTCAAGATAACTCGAGCTTTAGGACAGCTAGAGAGCTGGTAAACACAGCTAATCGATTCAGAATGATCAGCCGCGTTCGTCTGTTGAATCCAGAGGTCTGAACTTGGTCTGCTAGCCGAGCTAGGTCCGCAAACCTATTCGTATTATTTGAGTCATCTTGACAGGCGCTCTCCGTTTTCTGTACTTGACTCGAGCTACAGACAGCTCAAGAGCTGATACGTAAAGAATCCGATTCAGAATCATCAGTGGCCGTTGTCTGTTGAATCGAGAGCTCTGAATTCGGTCTGGTGCCCGATCTAGAATCGCGAAACTATTCGTATTGTTCGAGCGAGCCATCTTGAGAGATGCTGCCGGTTCTCTGCTCGGGCTGTGGTGGGACTGCATGGCTGGTAATCACTGGAATCGATTCGGAGACATCAGGTGCGTCCGTCTTTCGAATCCAGAGCTCTGAACTCTGTCTGCCCGAACTAGGTCCGCGAAACTATTCGTATTGTTCGAGTCATCCTGAGAGGTGCTGTCGGTTTCCTGCACTTAACTCGGGCTGTTGGGGGGCTGCAGGGCTGGTAATCAGAGGAATCGATTCAGAGACATCAGACGCGTCCGCCTGTCGCATGCAGAGGTCTGAACTCGGTCCAATACTCGAGCTAGGTTTGCGAAACTATTTGTTTACAGGACAGCTCAAGAGCTGATACGTAAAGAATCCGATTCAGAATCATCAGTGGCCGTTGTCTGTTGAATCGAGAGCTCTGGACTCGGTCTGGTGCCCGATCTAGAATCGCGAAACTATTCGTATTGTTCGAGCGAGCCATCTTGAGAGATGCTGCCGGTTCTCTGCACTTAACTCGGGCTCTGGTGGGACTGCATGGCTGGTAATCACTGGAATCGATTCGGAGACATCAGGTGCGTCCGTCTTTCGAATCCAGAGCTCTGAACTCTGTCTGCTGCCCGAACTAGGTCCGCGAAACTATTCGTATTGTTCGAGTCATCCTGAGAGGTGCTGTCGGTTTCCTGCACTTAACTCGGGCTGTTGGGGGGCTGCAGGGCTGGTAATCAGAGGAATCGTTTCAGAGACATCAGACGCGTCCGCCTGTCGCATGCAGAGGTCTGAACTCGGTCCAATACTCGAGCTAGGTTTGCGAAACTATTTGTTTTTTCTTCGAGTCATCTTGAGAGGTGCTGTCGGTTTCCTGCACGTAACTCGGGCTGTAGGAGAGCTACAGAGCTCGTGCAGAAGACAATCCAGAAGCTTCGGGGGTGTTCGGCTGTTACATCGGATAGGTCTGAAATTCATTGGGCTGAAAAGCTGTTTTTTCAGTGATTTTTTTTCGACATTATATGTTGTCAGGAAGCTCTACGAGTCCCCCGGCTCAAGTCTCCCGGCTCAAGGCGCTTGACATTTGATCCCCTCTGCCTGGGTTACCTCCAGTGGGATCGAGTGCGCGTCAGGGAGTCACACGTTTGTCGCCTAGAGTGATATTGCACTGCCATTCATTTGACACGTCTGATCGTCTTGAGTGGTCTTCCATTGATTTGTTTCACACGTTTGTCGCCTAGAGTGATATTGCGCTGCCATTCATTTGACACGTTTGATCGCCTTGAGTTGTCTTCAATTGATTTCGTTTTGCTTCCGAGGCAGTCTCTGCAATCTTTCGTTATGCCACACGTACGGAGTGCAAGTGCTCGCATTATGCGTCGGGCGCTGGCTGTTCAAAACGGATACTGTGTGCATTTACCTATTCGTTTGCCTCTGGATGGTTTGGTGCCACCTACGTGTCTCCCACCACCGGGGCTGGAGCGGGCGACTGCCGATTTGGTTCTAGATTATCTCTTGTTGCGCGATCCACCTGTTGTTAAACGCAGTTTGGAGGAGGAGGAGGAGGCTGACATTAAGACTGTTTCGGAGAATCTTTCTTGCCGTATGCAGGCTTCTGAATCGCTGGTTGATGTAGATATTGGAGTGCAGGCTTCTGAATCGCTGGTTGATGTTGGAGTGGGGACGGTTGATGTTGCGGACTTTCATTGTGAAGTCGGCTGTCAGACAGATAGTGTCGTTGGGATGGAGGGAGGAGCTTCAGGAGTTCTTCTTGGGAAAGTGACTGTGGCGGCGGAGGGGGAGCTGGAGGCGCCCTCGAGTGCGGAGTCTTCTCCGAACGTGCGGTCTGATTCTGATAGCCGCGCCTTGTCAGGAGCGTCCCAGGGGTGTCTGAATCGTCCCGTCACGCTCAATGAGGTATCGAAGGAGTCGCGCCAGAGGACTCGAGGGAGAGATCGTGACAAGGTCAAGGGGACATCGACGTGCTCTCAGGCCACCATTGCCGATGTCAAAGCGTGGATTGACGCTGTTGCCAGCATCAACGAGTTGAATGCGATCCAGTATTTAAAGAACGGAATGGATTTGTTTGATAAGCTGGTGACAGAACGTGGGTTCCCTACAAAGAAGGCCCAAAAAGATTATGCTCGGAAGCTGTATGAGATGCTCCAGAATGTGCAAGCGACGCTGGAGGATCTTCTAGGATTCTTCGAGGTGCACAGGTTCTTGACAGGACAAATGAACCGCGCCGAGATGGCCATGTTTCTTGAGGTTTCCAAGTGCAGCGATTACCGAATAATATTCTTCGGACGCCCGAGGAGTTTCGACAAGTTGGGATGAAGCTATTCGTGCGCACTTGTATGCAACTTTCGGTTTAGAACAGCGAAGGCTGTAATGCTTGTATCTCACCTGTTCTTGTTTTCCTCACTTTATCTCTCTGTTTGACCTCTCGCTGGAGCCATGATGACTCTACGGCCCGCTGTGGGCCCCACTGAGCGCTTCATGTGTGTAAAGGGCAGGAGCCCCTCATATTCTTCAGGTGACGTTCTTCCACGGGTTGTTTCCCTGTCTAATTCGTTGTTTACTTCACATGTGACGTTGAGCATACGCCTCTTGTCATGCGGCGGGTTGAACATGCGTATTTCGGACTGGTTTGATGTGAATAAGAGTTTGTGCTCACTCACGCCTTGCCTGTTTGGATACGTCCGCTCCTTGCTCCGACTAGGCTGGAAAGCCTGCACAGTCGACCGCAAAGTCCGCAAAAACGAAGGTTGACGGTTTACCGCCGGCGCCAGTAATACCTCGTAGAGCTCTTCGACATCGATGAGCTAGAGGAATTCCGGCGCGGGGTGGAGCTAGTTGATCGACCCGACCAGAAAGGACAAAGTGTCAACTTTTGCGTGGTTTTGCGAATAACACGTAGAGCTTCCCTTTGCAAGTTGTTGCTGGAAGCTTAAGAGTAATTCCGGGGCGCTGGAGAGCTAGTTGGCAAGAAAAATCTCGACGGACCTTTTGGTGACTTTTGGTCGGTTGAAAATTTTGTTCTCGAAATTCAACCATCTGTTAGAGCTCTAGTATTTTTTCCCGTGATATTCGATCTTATCACCTCCCCCCCCTCTTGCAAGAGCGCCCGCGTCGCTGCTTTCCCGCGGCGCCGTCGCCGCCTCGAACAGCACGGGCGAATCTTTGAATGGCCACGTCGCGCAGCCGCCGGGGCAATCCCGCGGGCCAACGTGTGCTTTTGGCAGTAAAAGGTACCCGATCGAGCTGAGATCAAGATAGCGAGCGGGAATGAGATCGAATATCACGGAAAAAATACCAGAGCTCTAACCAATGGTTGAATTTCGAGAAAAAAATTTTCAACCGACCAAAAGTCACCAAAAGGTCCGTCGATATTTTTCTTGCCAACTAGCTCTCCAGCGCCCCGGAATTACTCTTAAGCCTCCAGCAACTAGCTAAGGGAAGCTCTACGAGTTATGACTCGAACAATAGGAATAGTTTCGCGATTCTAGATCGGGCAGCAGACCGAGTTCAGAGCTCTGGATTCAACAGACGAACGCGACTGATGATTATGAATCGGTTTCTGTAAGTATAAGCTCTGTAGCTGTCATACAGCTCGAGTTAAGTACAGAAAACCGAGAGCGCCTGTCAAGATGACTCGAATAATACGAATAGGTTTGCGGACCTAGCCCGGCTAGCAGACCGAGTTCAGACCTCTGGATGCAACAGACAAACACGCCTGATCATTCTGAATCGATAAGGTGTGCTTGCCAGCTCTGTAGCTGTCCTCTATCTCGAGTTCAGTCCAATATACCGAGAGCGCGTATCAAGATGACTCGAAACGACCGATCCCGCCTGGACGCTTTTTGGCAGTGAAAGGTACCCAATCGAACTGAGATCAAGATGGCGAGCGGGAACAAGATCGAATATCACGGGACAAACTACTAGAGCTCCAACGAATTGGAGAATTTTGAGAACAAAATTTTCAACTGACCAAAAGTAAGCAAAAGGTCCGTCGGGATTTTTCTTGCCAACTAGCTCTCCAGCGCGCCGGAATTACTCTTAAGCTTCCAGCAATAACTTGCTAAGGGAAGCTCTACGAGTTATTTTCAACCTACCAAAAGTCACCAAAAGGTCCGTCGAGACTTTTCTTGCCAACTAGCTCTCGAACGCCCTGGAACATGGAGCCGGCGGTAAACCGTCAACCAGGTTTTTTGCGGTCTTTGCGGTCGACTGTGCGGTTTTTTTGCGGTCTTTGCGGTCGACTGTGCGGTCGCCTGCCAAATCGAGAGCTCAGAACTCGGTGTGCTGCCCGAGCTAGGTTCGCGAACTATTCGTATTCTTCGAGTCATCTTGAGAGGTGCTGTCCGTTTTCTGCACTTAATTCGAGCTGTAAGGGAGCTGCAGGGCTGGTAATCATTGGAATCGATACGGAGACATCAGTCGCGTCCGCCTGTCGCATTCAGAGCTCTGAACTCGGTCTGCTGCCTGAGCTAGGTCTGCGAAACTATTCGTATTGTATGAGTCGTCTTCAGAGGTGCTCTCGGTTTTCTGCACTTAGCTCGGGCTGTAAGGGGCCTGCAGGGCTGGTAATCACAGGAATCGATTCGGAGACATCAGGCGCGTCCGCCTGCTGCATTCAGAGGTCTGAACTTGGTCTGATACTCGAGCTAGGTTTGCCAAACTATTCGTGTTGTTCGACTGATCTTGAGAGGTGCTGTCGATTTTCGCACGTAGCTCGGGCTGTAGGAGAGCTATGGAGCTCGTGCGCACAGGAAACGATCCAGAAGTATGAGGGGCGTTTGGCTGTTGCATCGAGAGGTCTGAAATCGCTTAGGCTGAAAACTATTCGTTCTCTGCAATTTTTCCGACATTATATATGGTCAGGAAGCTCTACGAGTCCCCCGGCGGTAAGAAAGGTTGACGGTTTACCGCCGGCGCCCAGTTTTGTTCTCGAAATTCAACCATTCGTTAGAGCTCTAGTATTTTTTCCCGTGATATTCGATCTTATTACCGCTTGCCATCTTGATCTCAGCTCGATTGGGTACCTTTTACTGCCAAAAAGCACACGGGCGGGATCGCCCGTTTCGAGTCATCTTGTCACGCGCTGTCGGTTTTCTCAAGATAACTCGAGCTTTAGGACAGCTTTAGAGCTTGTAAGCACAGCTAATCGATTCAGAATGATCAGGCGTGTTCTCCGGTTGAACCCAGAGGTCTGTACTCGGTCTGCTAGCCGAGCTAGGTCCGCAAACCTATTCGTATTATTCGAGTCATCTTAACAGACGCTCTCGGTTTTCTGTACTTAACTCGAGCTACAGGACAGCTACAGAGCTGATGCGTACAGAATCTGATTCAGAATCATCAGTGGCCGTTGTCTGTTGAATCCAGAGCTCTGAACTCGGTCTGCTGCCCGATCTAGAATCGCGAAACTATTTGTATTGTTCGAGTCGTCTTGAGAGATGCTGTCGGTTCTCTGCGCTCAACTCGGGCTGTGGGGGGGGGGGGCTGCATGGTTCGTAATGACTGGAATCGATTCGGAGACATCAGGTGCGTCCGCCTTTCGAATCGAGAGCTCCGAACTCCGTCTGCTGCCCGAACTAGGTCCGCGAAACTATTCGTATTGTTCGAGTCATCCTGAGAGGTGCTGTCGGTTTCCTGCACTTAACTCGGGCTGTAGGGGGGCTGTAGGGCTGGTAATCACAGGAATCGATTTAGAGACATCAGACGCGTCCGCCTGTCGCATGCAGAGGTCTGAACTCGGTCTGATACTCGAGCTAGGTTTGCCAAACTATTCGTATTGTTCGAGTCATCTTGAGAGATGCTGTCAGAAAACAGATTTTTCGCACCTGTAAACGACTATGAGGGCCTCTCCGTCTTAGTATGAGCTCTGTAGGCGCACTTTTACTATCGAAACACTTGGCGGAACCATCTTCAGGTCGACACGAAAAAAAGTCTTTTTTTTTTTCCGAGAAATGCTTCCAGAAGCTCTCTCTTTCGACTCTGAGCACTCTTACGCGTGAAAGGAGCTTTACGAGGTTCCCGGCGGTGACCAGGTTGACGGTTCACCGCCGGCGCCAGTTCCGGGGCGCTGGAGAGCTAGCTAGTTGGCAAGAAAAATCTCGACGGACCTTTTGCTGACTTTTGGTCGGTTAAAAATTTTGTTCTCGAAATTCAACCATTCGTTAGAGCTCTAGCATTTTTTCCCGTGATATTCGATCTCATTGACGCTCGCCATCTTGATCTCAGCTCGATCGGGTGAATATTACTATCGAAAAGCACTGTGGCGGGATCGGCCGTTTCGAGTCATCTTGATACGCGCTGACGGTTTTCTGAACATAACTCGAGCTTTAGGACAGCTGCAGGGCTGGTAAGCACAGCTAATCGATGTAGAATGATTCGGCGCGTTCGCCTGTTGAATCCAGAGGTCTGAACTCGGTCTGTTAGCCGAGCTAGGTCCGTAAACCTATTCGTATTATTCGAGTCATCTTGACAGGAACTCTCGGTTTTCTGTACTTTACTCGAGCTGTAGACAGCTACAGAGCTGATATTTACAGACCGATTCAGAATCATCAGTTGCGTTTGTCTGTCCAATCCAGAGCTCTGAACTCGGTCTGCTGCCCGATCTAGAATCGCGAAACTATTCGTATTGGTCGAGTCATCTTGAGAAGTGCTCTCGGTTTTCTTCACTGAACTCGCGCTGAGGGGGGCCACAGTGTTGGTGGTCACAAGAATCGATTTGAAGACATCAGGCGCGTCCGCCTGTCGAATCCAGAGCCTGGAACTCGGTCTGCTGCCCGAATTAGGTTTGCGAAACTATTGTATTGTTCGAGTCATCCTGAGAGGTGCTGTCGGTTTTCTGCACTTAACTCGGGCTGTAGGGGGGCTGCAGGGCTGGTAATGACAGGGGTCGATTCGCAGACATCAGACGCGTCCGGCTGTCGCATTCAGAGGTCAAAAAATATTCACTACGAGTCGGAATGTTGATAGGTGGTGCCGGTTTTCTCAAATAAGTCGAGCTAGGAAGCTCTACGAGTCTCCCGGCGGTAACCAAGGTTGACGGTTTACCGCCGGCGCCCAGTAATTCTGGCGCGCTGGAGAGCTAGTTGGCCAGAAAAATCCCGACGGACCTTTTGCTGACTTTTGGTCGGTTGAAAATTTTGTTTTCGAAATACCTCGTAGAGCTCTTCGGCAGCGATGAGCTAGAGGAATTCCGGCGCGGGGTGGAGCTAGTTGGCCGACCCGGCCAGAAAGGACAAAGTGATAACTTTTGGGTGTTTTTGCAAAAAATTTAGGATATTTGACAATTCATTTTGAGAAAGCAGATTTTTCGCACCTGTAGTGGGTTATGGCGCGTCCGCCAGTAAAATTTCCAGGCCCATAGGTGCAGTATTACTATCGAAACACTTGGAGGAACCGACGTTTGATAAAAATAAAAAAAAAACGTGATTTTTCGAGTTTCTCAGGTCTTGCTCTGGACGCTTTGTTCATGTTTACCGAGGAGCGGCGTGTAAGGAAAGAGCTCTACGAGGGCCCCGGCGGTAACTTGGTTGACGGTTTACCGCCGGTTCCCAGTCTCGACGGACCTTTTGCTGACTTTTTGGTCGCTTGAAAATTTTGTTCTCGAAATTCAACAATTCGTTTGAGCTCTAGTATTTTTTCTGACCATATTCGATCTTATTCCCGCTCGCGATCTTAATCTCAGCTCGATCGGGTAAATATGTCTGCAAAAAAGCGTCGCGGCGGGATCGGCTGTTTCGAGTCATCTTGATACGCGTTGTCGGTATTTTGTACTTAATTCGAGCTCTAGGGCAGCTACAGAGCTCATTCTCACAGAAATCGATTGCGAATCATCAGACGCGCTCGTCTGTTCCATCTAGAGGTCTGAAATGGGTCTGCTGGCCGAGCTAGGTTCGCGAAACTATTCGTATTGTTCGAGTCATCTTGACAG